TATTCAGCCTAATATATCCAAAACATTTCTCTCACAAAGCTCCCTATATCTAATCCCTAAATCCTTGATTTCAGAAATGCCCTCAATCTCCAATACTAGGGATCAGGGATGTCCCAATACCACTTTTTCAAGTACTGTCCCTCAGGCACTTGCCAATACCAATTACCGATACTTAAAGAGACGTGACATTTTTTCTAAAACAATACAGACTCATGATTTTAGGGCACTTTCTTGCAGAGCATGTTCATATTTTCCACATCCAATCTAATGTCTCAGTCATTGCTCTATATCAGCAATACTTTTGTATAACTTTAAGTTTAATTGGGGGAAGTGGGACTGATTGAAAGAAGCAGGGGAGAATTGTTACTCTAGTTTTGCAACCTGATCACTTAACCCTTTCGCTGCCAAGCCCTCCGGAACATTTTTCAAATCAGCTGACCAAGCCATTTTTGAATTTTCTGCAATTTTTTCCTATTGGTTTGATTTTCAACTGCTGCGTTGCTAGCGTTTGTAAAAGACCCCCCCAAACCATATATTTTCTGAAAGCGCAGGCCCGGTAGAATAAAAAGATGGTGATACTAAATTTGTAGGCCCTGCGATAATTGCGCAAATGTTTCTCAAATTAATATTAAACCGATAAAAATACACAATTCAATTGTTAAAAGGCCGGCGGTGGGGGGGTGCGCCCGGTGTTTTTAAAATTAGCGGTCATCAGAGGCTTATAGAACTGTAAATGCCAGGTCCGTACGACGTACTGAGCTGGCCAGCTGGAAGCACTTTTGTAGCTCCGTACGACGTACGTCCTTGGCAGCGAAAGGGTTAAAAGAGTTTTTCTCCCCAGCTAACTTGAATAGGTTAAATTAAATGATCCATTGTATATAGTACAAACTTGCAGTACACTGCAGAAATAGTTACAATTCTCCCCAGCTAACCTGAATAGGTTAAAATTTAACCTATTCAAGTTAGCAGGGAAGAATTGTATTTCTGCAGTGTACTGGAAGTGTGTACTGCGTACTATGGATCATTGAACCGTTAAATGAGCCATAGTACACACTTCCAGCACAATGCAGAAAGTTATAATTCTCCCCAGCTAACCTGAATAGGTTAAATTTTAACCTATTCAGGTTAGCTGGGGAGAAGTGTAACTATTTCTGCAGTGTACTGCAAGTGTGTACTACGGATCTTTTAATTGTTAAATTATCCATAGTACACAGTTCCAGGACCAGTACACTGCAGAAATAGTTGCATGTCTTCCCTGGTTCACGCCAGAGGCGGAGGACATGAGTAGTAAGTGGTGGGAGCAAAACCTCTTAATTCCGGTCTAAACCATGGAGCATGGGCCAGGTTCCTCCCGGCCATACATTTCTCCAGAGCAACCCACAACTTATCCACAACCTGGAAGTGCCAATCTAAGACCCACTGGAGAGCAACAGCTTTATAGTACAGTTGCAAGTCAGGGAGACTCAATCCTCCCGACATCTTTGCGCGTCTCAGAATGGCAAATGCAAGTCTAGGCCTCCTATTTCGCCAGACAAAGCGAAACGGCTATTGGGAGCATCTGAAGGAGAAATAAAGATGTTAATAATCTCGCTTGTGGATGCCCCCCTTTTAAATATAAGTGAATAAATAAATGACTGCAGCGAAAGATCGGCAAAGCCAAAAGCAATGTGGCCAAGAGAATGCCAATACACCGCGCTCCCCTTTATTGTGAAGCAATTGAATATAACCGATAAACCTCCAAATACACAATAAAACAACCCAAAACAGACCTATGTGTGTATTCCACCGTATATAAAGTGTACACAAAAAATACAATAAATGTAGTGCAAAAAATATTAAACTGTGAGATATGTGAATAATATTAGAGGATATTCAAATCACTCAGTATAAATCATCAATCAATGTGAATGTGTACATAAATTAATATTGAGGATAATCAGAATCCATATATAAATAGTAAATATTGGATAACTAAAGTCCATATAAAGTACAAAACTTCATCCGATCCTCACAGGACAAAGATAACTTGTGATCAGTTCAAATTTTTGTGTAATCATATAATCCCACTCCGAAGGAAAAACAAAGGAGGGGAGAGCAAGAAAAATGAGGGTGATTTCAACTAATCCTAATATGAATAACAATAATATGAATATTAAATATCTTATTTATCAACACCTACTTCTTACTGTTCGAGAGGGGCAGATCAGCTAAGAAATGCACACCACAAACTGTGGGTTTAAAAAAATATATTATATCAGGAATTTAATGACTGAGCTAGTTTTTAGTTTCTGTTCCTAAATGACTGACACACTTTTTTTACATTTTTTGCTGTGTGATTCTTCCACAGCAACAAGTTTTGATTATTATTATTATTTGAATGTTTTGTATAATAATTATAGTATATATAATATAAAAATTTAATTTTCCTAATTTTTTGTACACTTTTTTTTTTTTTTACACTTTTTTTTATATATAACACAAAAAAATAAGTATAAAAAAATATATTTTTTTGTCGGTTTATATCAAGCAATCACTATGACTGCTTAATAAATTCACTTTTTTTAATTTTTAGTTATTAGGCTGCTCCAAACTTAGGAACAGCTAATAATAACTTTAGAGACTGATCCTGACAGCATGTCAGAATCAGATCTCACTAAACTGATACATTTCACTCAAGAGATACATTTGTATCTAGTGTTTGAAATGTATCATTTAACATCGGGCCAGGCTATACAGCTGTCAAAACCAATAGCAGAGAGGTGAGTCACTGCTACCTCTCTGCTATCTTCAGCTGTCAGATACGGGATCGCTATTTAGCGAACCCGTATCTGAATGTATCATTAATGAAAGAAGCTTTTACAAAAGCTTAACTATTTCATTAATGAATGCCTCCATAGTGAGGCATTCATTAATGACTGGAACTGCTGAGAATCAGCAGTTACCAGCATTAGAGGCTAATATGACTCAGCACGTACAGTGTACGTGGCCAGTCATAGAGCCACTTTGTGACGGGACGTACACTGTACGTCTCCCGTCATGAAGGGGTTAAACATGCATAGCTCGAGTATTGATAAAGAGAAGGAAACCGTAATAACAAAAACAGCTAATCATATCAAAGCGTACTACCACAGAAATACTAGCACAGCAATAGCAAACCAACAATATTAAATAACACTACTAAACCAGGGAAAACACTAACCCAACACCTCTAACACAAGCATTATATTGTAAACTTGTTGGCATAACTTGCCAATTGAATGTATGGCTATTACCCATCCTGTAAGATTTACACAAGTTCTGGACTGTAGTTCCCAAAATTACTTCCTCCCAAGATGGCTTCCTCTCAGATGGCCTCCTCTCTCCCTCTGATGGCCTCTCTCCGAAAATGGCTTCCTCCTCTGATGGCCTCTGCCTCTTTATTCTAACTAAACCCAATAACTATCATTAGAAACCCCTGTTTGGTCCACAAAACCTAATCGAAGCTATATCACGACAGTGATTGGATGGCAGCTTAAGTCCCTTTGATCTAATAACACCCAAGTTGTCAACCTGGCTGGCTCCATTTTGTCTGAGAAGAATATATATATATATAGCCCTTTGATCTCAGAAAGACAACACCTCACGTATACCAAAAGATTGAGTTCTGCATGGCATATTGGCATGCTAACGAACTAATTCTTTTTATTTACACTAGTCTCAGAGAAGCCCAATTACAATTATATTCACGTCTGGGTGGCAACCATATATACTTTTGGCTAATCATATTTCTTCCAATCTACCCATCATATATTAAATAAAAAAAAAAAATTTTGGGGGGGGGAGGGGGCCTTGGAATTTCTTACAAGAGTAGTCCATAGCAGGTGTTAGTCAACACGTCTGCCATGTTCAGCGGCTTGGGCCACACTGCCCCGAGACAGTTGATTTTTCATTCCTTGAGTTAGACCTTTGTGCAGTGAGTCTTCCCCTGTTAATTCCCCTGTGAGTGGTCTCTGAATCGTGTTCTCTCTTGCTCTTCAAAGAACATGTAAGCCTATTAGCGACCTTCCTCCTCTACTCTCAACCACAAGGTGATGGCCTCATAGAAGCGATGGCTATAAGGAACAAGGTCTGAACTGGTGGCTTTATCCTTCCAGGTACACATTCTTGTTTTGCATTAGGTACAAAATGGTGTTGAGATCCTGGATTTCTTGCCTAAGGGAAGTTTTTGCCTTTCACCTCAACTGAAACATTGTTCTTGAGGCACAGTTGACTAGATCTGGGGCCTGTAGGCCTTTGTTGCTATATTGCCCTGAACTGCTTTTGGATGCCCAAATAGTCTTAAGAATTCCTGTGTACCTCAATGGGCAGTAAAGAAAATAAGATTTTTGTACTCTTGTAATATTATCCTTTTCTTGCAATACATTGAGGTTCACAGGTCCTCTCCTCTGTGTTTTTTTTCATGCTCTAAGTACTACTTTGCTACAAAATTGAGGCATGATGGTTATGGGTAAAGCTAACCTGTGCTGGTCTGCGGCTTTTTCATTGTCATTGTCTGTGTACCCTGTAAGCAGCAGTATAAATCCAACAGTCCAGGAATTCCGAAGCCCCTCAATTAACTCCCAAGAAAATGATTTTTCAGTGAGTACGCATCCCTTAAGACTCATCTCTTCAGGGAAGCCTATGCCACCTCAACCTAACCACTGAACTATCACTTTCTCAAAGAATTAATCCCCACACAGCTACCTCCTCATGTATCACTTGCCCCACCCTTTTAGATTGTAAGCCCTCATGGACAGGGCCCTCCTTACCATCTTGTCTTGAATTGTATTGTGATTGTAATGCTTTCTTTATATTGTAAAGAGCTGCGCAAACCGTTGGCGCTATATAAATCCTGTATAATAGTACGAAACTATTATGTTTACATGCTATAAAAGCTAGCATATCCATGATAATTTAGCTGCACAGTTTGTTATGGTTTTATTTTGGTGAGAAAAAATAAATGTTTCTTTTCTTTTGAACAGGCTGATGTTTTCCGTAAAGTTGGTGGTGTAGTGCTTGCAAATGCCTGTGGACCCTGTATTGGCCAATGGGACAGGTATGTTAAAATTTAAATAAAGTAGAGCACCATGTACACCACTGTCTTGGATTTCCATATTGAAATAAACTTTAAGCCTGCTTTCACACCTGAGCGTTCCGGCATCGCGCGTTAAGCTCAATGGAGCCTGAACACGTGACAAACGCAGCAGAAAAGCTTATGTAGTAAATTTTTACATGCATTCCCAGTCTTGACTTCTGTGTTTATGCGCTTTTTATTGCGCAGAAACGAGGCAAAACGAGCATCTTCCTGACCGCATTTTGGGTGCCATTAGCAATTTAGCAACAGAAGAGCATTTCAGATTTTGCAGCGTTTATCAACTTTGGTGTGTGGTTTTGTGCACGATGACTGAACGCGCAGCTGTAAATATGAGCTAAAGGTAATATTAAATTCTCCTTGAAATTGCAACCTTTTGATAATGGCCAGTTTTCATTGACATTTTCTCTGTACATGCATGCAGCTGTATCACTGATTTTTATCCATGTATTCCACTAAGGCAAGACATAAAAAAGGGAGAAAAAAACACTATTGTGACTTCATACAATAGAAACTTCACTGGAAGGAATGATGCCAACCCAGAAACTCATGCCTTTGTCGCATCTCCTGAGGTATTTGTTTTCCACTTGTTGGACTATTTTATATCTTCGCTAAAATGCATATATACAAACATGCGTGTACGTATAATCGGTGTATATATACCTTTCAGCCATTACATTATGACCACTGAGCGATTTAAGTGAATAACATTGATTATCTCATTACAATGGCACCTGAAAGTGGTTGGGATATCTTAGGCAGCAAGTTAATATTTTTGTCCCTGAAGTTGTGTTGGAGGCAGAAACAATGGACAAACATAAGGATATGAGCGATTTTTATAAGGGCCAAATTGTGATGACTAGACGACTGGGTCAGAGCAACGCCAAACCTACAGCTCTTGTGGCATATTCCCAGTCTGCAGTGGTTGGGACCTACCAAAAATTTTAAAAGAACACAAACTACTTGTCCAAGTACAAAAGCGTGGACTCTACGTGTCCCTCGTGACCATCTACTTGTCATGATACAAAAAAATAATCTTTACCAAAACTGTATATAACAGTGCTAATTTGGGAACAAAATTCAGAATACATGGCACTAGACAAGGCTGCACTAGACGGCAGTACGGGGTACAGATAGTACACCCATACAGGCGGAGTGGAAGGATTATTCACCGAAAGGTAAGTATAGCAGGAAGGGAGAGGGGGCCAGATTTTGACCGGGTAATTCCATTTTCCCAAACTACTTGGAAAAGTTAACCTACCCTTTAATGCACAATGGGGGGAATTTATCAAAACTGGAGCAGCTGTACATGGCAACCAATCAGTTTCTCTCTTGAGTTTGTTCAGCTAAGATTTGAAAATTAATGAGAGAAGCTGGTTGCCATGCACAGCTGCTCAAGATTTTGTCTGCTCCAGTTTTTATAAATTACATTCATTGTGTGTGTTAGAGTGCTGCTTCCCGGCTACCACAATATGGTACACAGAATGGGGGAAGCACTCGGCATACACACACAATGCCCTACACGTGCATTTATTCACCCGCAGATGGCAGGGGAAGAGGGGTTGGTTTTAAATGGGTTTTTTTTTTAAATTTTGTATTTTATCACTTTTTTTTTTTTCCACTAAACTTTATTGCTATCACACAGAAACAAGCCCCTGTTTGATGGCATTCAGAGGTGACAGGTTCTCTTTATGGAACCTGTCACTTCCAATACAGGAGTTCTTCCACAATCTCCTGTGACAGCTGAGACTGGAAGGCTACGAGTACAGCTCTACTGTCTTATTGTTTACACGGAGCAGACCAGAAAACACACGTTCTCCGCTCTGCATCCTCAACTAATTTGCTATGGCCCGGCTCCCCCAAAAGAGCAGGGGACCCCGCAAACCGCGGTGGGGGGGGAGTGACAGGCTGCTCAAGATCACTACAAAAAGTAATTGTCCTGCTGCAGAATAAATGTGCTTGTATTTCTCAGCATTGAGGACACCATTAATCCTGACCAAATCTTGCAAGGAAGATCCACCATGCTTCAAGGTTGCCTGCAAACACTCATTATTGTACTCGTCAGTCTGTGGCCTTGTGGCAAAAAAGCCATACCTCCGATGTGGAAACGAGGCTAAGCGACTCAACTATGCACAAAAACAAAGGAACTGGGGTTAAAAAACAATGGCAACAGGTGCTTTGGACTGATGATTCAAAATTTTAAATATTTGGCTGTAGCAGGAGGCAGTTTGCATGCTGAAGGGCTGGAGAGTTGTACAATGAGTGTCTACAGCAATAGTGAAGTGCGGTGGAGGTTCCTTGCACATCTGGGGCTGCATTTCTACCAATGGGTTGGAGATTTGGTCAGAATCAATGGTGTCCTCAATGCTGAGAAATACATGCAGATACTTATCCATAATGCCATACCATCAGGGAGGTGTTTGATTGGCCCCAAATTTATTCTGCAGCAGGACAATTACCCCAAACATACAGCAAATGTCGTGAAGAACAAGGAGTCGTGGAAGTGGTGGTTTTGCCCCCACAGAGCCCTGATTTCACAGTCCGTCTGGGATTACTTTAAGAGACAGAAGGATTTGAGGCAGCCTACATCCACTGAAGATCTGTGGTTGGTTCTCCAAGATGTTTAGAATAACCTACCTGCTGATTTCCTTCAAAAACTGTGTGCAAGTGTACCTAGAAGAATTTATGCTGTTTTGAAGGCAAAGGGTGGACACACCAAATTTTGATTTCTCTTCTGTTCATTTACTTTCCATTTTGTTAAAAAAAATAAATGTTTTTATTTCTGAAAGCATTCTTGCTTCACAGAATGTTATCACACCTGCCTAAAATGTTTGCATAGTACTGTATCTATATTATGTTATGTATGTGTGTATACTGTACATGGAAAAAACAAAAGGTCCATTTAAGAGGCGTTTTCAAAAACACCGCAGCGACATCAGAATTTCTATGAAAAAAAGTTGCTGCTGGTGAGGACCCAGATTTCAACAAACCAGTCGCGGTACATTTTACAGGACGAAAACCAAGTACACGAGTTGAGATGAATGGTCATTGACATATACAGGCCAGTCACAAAGGGGGCAATAGAGATCTCTAGCTGCTACGCAGGGAAGCATTTTGGATATTCACCATGGATACGGTAGCACCTCGTGGCCTCAATACCAGTTTATCCTATACTTGCTTTCTTTCGGACAGAGGTTAGATCTGGTTACATTGTTCCCAGCCTTGATTTGATTGTCGGCCATGAATCTTGATAGCTTGGCCTTTTTTTTATCTTTTCTCCCCCTTGTTTCCAACCAATTACTGTTTTTGCTCCTCCGATGTCAGCAATTTGCTAAAGCCTTTAGGCTGGGTTTACACCTGGGCGTGCGGAATATGCGCGTTTGCACCGCGATTTGCGGTAAAAGAAACGCGTGTTTCCGGGGGCTATCCGACTCTATCCTAATGGATACGCGGCAAATACGCCCCAAAAAAGCTCCTGTACTTCTTTGGGCGTTTTACAGCGTGTTCCTACGTGCTGTAAACGTCCAGGTGGGAACCATGCCCATAGGCAATTATTGGTTTTCACATGTTGAGCGTTTTACAGCGCATAGGAACGCGCTGTAAAACGCCCAGGTGTGAACCATGCCTCAGATATACAGAATTTGGATGCATTTTGCACAATTTTGCATTAGTGTTCTACTGATCTTCATTCTGATTATTTTTCTATTGTTTTGTGACTATACTATTGGCTCTGAGTATTGCTTTAAATGACAATAGGGTGTGCAATTTCAAATGTCATGCTAATAATTGGAATTAATTATTTTTAAGTATGCGACGTATATGATGTTTACAGTTCCTTTGACGCTATACGGCACATGGTAGCTGTTTATATAGAACAAGATAAGCGTGCATGGATGACATATTGATAGTTGTTACAACACAACTGGTACGTTTTAGTCCGCTGGTTCTAATGCTTATGTCACTGTGTCTTTTCCAAACATACTCCCTTTTTCATTCATTTGGCGTCTGAAGGGTAGTTCACTTTACTTTGATTTGGTGTTTGGTTTTCACTGTTTAGTATATATTTGCACTTGTTTGTATTTGTGTTTCATTATCTGTTTTGCCTGAGCAAGGGACTTTGCTGTTTCGAAAACATCGCTCTGATGACACCTGTGAAGTCAATAAACATTGACTTTTCTACATGCTGGAGTGCTTGTGACCTTTTTTTATTTTGGACTTCTATTGCGGAGGCCTACAATTAGTTTTTTTTTTTTTATCCGGTCAGGAGTGCAATGGGTGTGTGTGTTTTTTGACTTGTGTGCAATTGGCCCCATGCAGCTCCACCTACCCTGACCCAGTTAAGTTTCCCTCCAGAATTTCTCTAACCCTAAGTAACAAAGTATTTTTAGTGGACATGTTACTTGCCATAGCCCTTTTAGAAGCATAATTGTTGCCTATGGTTTTGTTCTACAGCCAGGGTAGTGAAGTCTCAAACTAATCCCTTAACGCATGGTTTGCATTTTTTTGCCTTTATGTTGTCTCTGGGGAACAGAATTGGAGTCACTCTAGGTATGCAGCGGAACTATAGGACTTACTCCCTTTGGCTCTTGTGCAGTGGCGTCGCTACAGGGGCCCCCCCCCCCCACAGGCCAGTCACAAAGGGGGCAATAGAGATCTCTAGCTGCTACGCAGGGAAGCATTTTGGATATTCACCATGGATACGGTAGCACCTCGTGGCCTCAATACCAGTTTATCCTATACTTGCTTTCTTTCGGACAGAGGTTAGATCTGGTTACATTGTTCCCAGCCTTGATTTGATTGTCGGCCATGAATCTTGATAGCTTGGCCTTTTTTTTATCTTTTCTCCCCCTTGTTTCCAACCAATTACTGTTTTTGCTCCTCCGATGTCAGCAATTTGCTAAAGCCTTTAGGCTGGGTTTACACCTGGGCGTGCGGAATATGCGCGTTTGCACCGCGATTTGCGGTAAAAGAAACGCGTGTTTCCGGGGGCTATCCGACTCTATCCTAATGGATACGCGGCAAATACGCCCCAAAAAAGCTCCTGTACTTCTTTGGGCGTTTTACAGCGTGTTCCTACGTGCTGTAAACGTCCAGGTGGGAACCATGCCCATAGGCAATTATTGGTTTTCACATGTTGAGCGTTTTACAGCGCATAGGAACGCGCTGTAAAACGCCCAGGTGTGAACCATGCCTCAGATATACAGAATTTGGATGCATTTTGCACAATTTTGCATTAGTGTTCTACTGATCTTCATTCTGATTATTTTTCTATTGTTTTGTGACTATACTATTGGCTCTGAGTATTGCTTTAAATGACAATAGGGTGTGCAATTTCAAATGTCATGCTAATAATTGGAATTAATTATTTTTAAGTATGCGACGTATATGATGTTTACAGTTCCTTTGACGCTATACGGCACATGGTAGCTGTTTATATAGAACAAGATAAGCGTGCATGGATGACATATTGATAGTTGTTACAACACAACTGGTACGTTTTAGTCCGCTGGTTCTAATGCTTATGTCACTGTGTCTTTTCCAAACATACTCCCTTTTTCATTCATTTGGCGTC